AGTTAATTAATATATAAATATCATAGTATATATTAAATAACAGTCATGCTAAAGTTTTCAATAACCTATCTTCTATCATTTTTTACTGAAAAATATTCAGAGTTAGGTTGAAGTGTTGAATTCGAATTAGATAGTAATAACTATCTTATCAGGCTTTTTTGAATGATCTCTAAACAATTATTTCTTTGGTTCAAGTATCATGATATTATTCTTAACGATAATATAGCTAAGATAAATTGATATCAAATACCGCTTAGTTTGTTTCTTATTGTTAATAATAATATGAGATCTCATTTAGTTACACAAGTACTAATATTTGACAAAACAGTTAACTCTTACAAATAGATTCTCTAGTATATAATAAAAGCTATAGGTGTTAAACCAATAGTTTTTGTTACAGACGTAGATTTGACGATAGACGGTATATTAAAAGAAGTATACAAAAATATTAATTCACTATATTGTATCTATTACATTAGTCAAAATCTACCAAAGAATCTAAAGGTTATATTAGGCAATACATATGATTCATTCATCAAAAAATTTTATTAGTGTTGTAATATACTGGATAAAATGTTGTTTGAATCTAGATGGCAAAATTTATTAGAAAAATATCTATCTGCTTCAAATTATTTAATAAGAGTCCTTTATTCTAGTCATCAATCATGGGTTTGCGCCTTTATATTAAAATTTTTTACCACTGGAGTTCAAACAACATCATGTGTAGAAGGGTATATTATGAATTAAAATAGATTTTAAATTTAGATCTTTGATAGTGTAGGGTTAAATTTGCTACTAAATTTTAAATTTATTTAATAGTTAAGAAATTGTATTAGATATTAGTTGAGATCACATTTTGATGTATGTCTTGTTTGTTCTTTTTTATCTAAGGGCAGTATTATTTATCACCTGATTATTTTTTATCAGAAGCTTACCCCCTCCCCCTCTTAATATAAAAAAAATCAGGTTCTTATATATAATTTTAACTTTTTTTACCCCCTCTATCTCTAAAAAATTATCTGATTTTTGTCACATTTCTAAAGATATTAGCTGATATCTAATATGTTATTTTACTAAATTTTAAGTTTGTTTAACAGTTAAGAAATTTTAAATTCACTTTATTCCAGTCTTATTTTTAACAGATACAATGGTCTTATTAAGAGAGTATTACACAGCAATAGTAGTTTATACAATTTATTGAATATCTTGAATTTACGATTAGAAAAAGAGGCTGAATAGAACCATTTCTTTGAATATCAGATATTGTCATTATATGTTGGGATTTCATCTGTTGGCAGCAAGATATTCCCTACTGTTGATCAAATATTTTCAGAATATTTGACATCACATATTCTTTCTATTGAATATATTAAAATAGCTCAATACTTATATTTCAATGCAGTATTAATTTACATGACGATAATTGGCTCTGATGATAAAAATAAAAATATAAAAGATCAATTTATAAAGGATATTTATGATGTGAAGCAAATTTTGCTTAAATCAATAGTTTTGCAAGTTGATCAAGCTAATATTAAAGAAATATAGCAAATTATTGACAAGAGACCAGGCAACAATCAGCAAAAGCAATTTATTATTATAATAGATCCTATTTTCTATTTATATACATGCATGTCTAATATATCTCACAATATCGTATATAGATATTACTTTCAAGTAATGCTAGTTTCACAACTTTCTAAATTTCATATTAGTATAGTAGTGTCATACTAGTACTATAATAACAAGAAAGAGTTAGTTGGTCAAAAGAATATAGTTTTTTTAAATAAAGGTTCTAGTCAAGCACAACAAAATCAAACTATACCATTGATTTTTTAACAATTTACTGTTTTTCCTTCAGTAGCAACAAGTAGCCGATATGTGGCAACTCGACGTTCCAAGTTTTGTGAATTATGGGGTCTTGTATGACAAGCTACGCAACTCGTAGCTAATTGTGATGATAATAAGATGATTCAATGATTAAGAACTTTTATTAATCAAAAGAAATATCATCTAACACAAACTGATGAATGTGAAAATAGTAATAAGGAAAATAATTTGATAGTTGCCAATCCACCAATCACCAAATACAAGAGCAAACCTAGAACTAAAAGATATAAAGCTGCTACAGAAAAATCAAGTCATCAACTAGATACTTAACATAGGTATAGTAAAACTGGGCATAATAGCACAAGATATCAAAAAAAAGATGTATGTAATATATATATGGGATAGAAGATAGGTTATTGAAAACTTTAGCATGACTGTTATTTAATATATACTATGATATTTATATATTAATTAACT